GGGAGTTCATAACTCACTTGAAACTAATGTCTGAAATATGATATGTCAAGAGCCTTGTAAGGTTTTGAACAACCAATAAAAAAAAAATACAAGAAAAAACAAACAAAAAAAAAAAAGTAGAGCTGACAATGAGAATTTCCCATAAGGTTATGACATGAGAATTCCCAAGATTTCTTGATTTTAAGATGATGATAAATTTGTTGATACTGAGGAAACTTTTCATTCTTAAAAAGAGAATTTTATGAGTTTATGAATTTAGCCCTCTCTCTTGGTTTTCATTCTAGAGTTGATGATACAGAGCAACATTCACAATTAACAAAAGTGGTATTTTGATTGTTTTGAAGGTATGTAATAGCAATAAGAATTGTCACTGTGAAGATGGCTGGGCTCCCCCAAATTGTGAGACTAGCGGATACGGAGGAAGCGTGGACAGTGGACCTACGTACAATGGTAAGGAATATTGAAGAAATTAGTGCATTCTCCCAGGGGATTGAGTCACAAATCGGTTATCCTTGTAACTTTCCCTCACTTCCCATATCAGCTGTACATTAAATGGTTTTGATTTTGCTCCCCTAAATTCTTTGCACAGGCTTCTAGGGTTTTTTGTTTGTTTGTTTGTTTGGTTCTTCTCCATTTTTAAAAATTTCTTTCCTGGACTTATAGAATAGCCTCTTATCTGGATTACCTGTTTACCACCTTGCTCCCCATTATCTGTGGTCCATACTACCTTATAGAGTTTTAGTATTTTTCTTTAAAAATTCAGTTTGGTTATGTCAGTGTCTTGCTTATAATTCAGTGCTTTTATGTTGCTATCACAAATACTGAAGTCCATAAATCCTTAACATGACTTACTCCTACATGATTTGCCCCTAGCTTACCTTTCCAGTCTCATTTCTCTATGCCCAAGATAAACTGTGATTTATTTGACTCCTCTAATAGGTTACTCTGTTTTACTGATGAACTTTCAAATCATTTTATTTTCACATTATTGGAACTGGCAATGGATGCTCAGGCTTTAGTTTATACCTTATTCCCTGATGGAAGTTTTCCATAACTGCATATATCTGAATTAATCTGCCCCTTCTCTTTGCTCTCCTAGTACTGAATTTAGCATGATCACATACTATAGTAATTACTTTTTTACTTATTTTTGTTTCCTAATGGAGTGTGAGATCCTTACTTATAGTGTCTTTCTAATGAAAACATGCACTTTCTTTCTCTTGGGTAAATATTAGGTAGAATGTCTGGCTCTTATAGTAAGTGTATATTCAACTTTTTATTTTTATAACTTTATTTATTTATTTGTTTCTTTTTTAATGTGGTGCTGAGGAATGAACCCAGTGCCTCACAGGAGCTAGGCAAGTCCTGTACCACTGAGCCATAACCCCAGCCTTACTTTAACTTTTTACGAAATTGCCAAAATGATTCTCAGAGTGGTTTCAATAGTCCTTCTTTGTCCATGGTTTTAAATTCCATGGTTTCAGTTATTCTTGGTCAGCTGTAGTCTGAAAAATCCCATGGTTTTAATGATCCAGGATCCCCTGAAGCAGAAAAGCCCCCTCTGACCTTGTCAGAAGGTCAATAGCAGTCTAACACTACATCATGATAGCTATGTCATTCGCTTCACTTGATCTTAGCAGATGGGCATTTTATTATCTTATATAATCACAAGTGCCCATATAGTTACCATTTCTGGTGCTTTTCATTTCTTTGTGTAAATTTGGATTTCCATCTGGTATCATTTAATTTCTTTTTGGACGACTTTATTTTTCTTATAGTGTAGATCTACCAGAGATAAATAATTTCACCTTTCACATGTCTGAAAAAGGCTCCCCCCCACCTTGAATGATAATTTAACTGGGTGAAGAATACTAGAATGATAGAACCTTCTTCCCTTATACTTATAAAAGAGTACCACATTGTCTCCTGACTTGCATGCTTTTCCTGGGAAATCTGCTGTTATCCTTTTATGTATGTGTGTGCAGTGCTTCTGTGTGTGATGTCCCCTCCCACCCCCCGCATCCCTCCTTCTGGTTACTTATAGGATTTTCTCTTTATCTCTGGTTTTTAGTTATTTACTATAATATGTATTGGGATTTGCTGAGATTTTTGGATCTCTGCTTTTAGAGTTTTCTTAAAATTTGGAAAAGTTTTGGCAGTTATTTTTTCACACATATTTTCTGTCTTTCTCTTCTCTCCTTCAGACTCCACTTTCATGTGGATCTGCTACTTGGAGTTCTTTCACATGTCACTGATCTGCTACTGATTTTTTTTATCACTCTCTATTTTCTAGTTTTGATTAATTTCTTTTGCTCTTTTTCAGGTTCACTCTTCTTCTGTAAGGTTTACCATTAATTCTCTGTGGTGTATTTCTTAAGCATGGTAACTTTTATTTCCAAAAGTTTTATTTTTTTGTATATTCATGATCCTGGACATGATTAATCTTTAGGTTTCTGAACAAATTACCATTTTAATAACTTCTGAAACCCATATCTATTAATTTTATCATATATAATATTTCTCAGATGCTTTTGAATGGTTCTCCCCTTTAGTTTGCATCATATTTTCCTGCTTCTTTGCATGGCTTATAATATTTTAGTGGAGTCCAAAAATTAAGAATTTGTCTTGTGGACTGGATTTTTTGAATTTCTACTGATGAACTTTGTTCCAGTTTCACTTCAGTTACTTGAACATAGCTTGATCCATCTGGATCTTACTTTTAAGCTCAATTAATCAAGATTGGAGTAGCATTTAGTCTAGGGCTGATTTTGCCCCATTACCAAGGCAAAAACCCTTCAGTTTATTCTACTCAGTGCAACATTAATTAGGAGGTTTCTGATGTGAATCATAGATACAAGCAATCTTCCTAGTCCTGTGTGATTGTACACACAAATCCTTTCATGTGGTCCTTTTCTCCAGCTTCACGTAGCTTCCTTACGTGCATTTATTGATCAGTAGTCAACTACATATTTGCGGGAAACCTTCTGTGGGTCTTTCAAGTTCTCTCTGTGTGGCTAGTTTCCCTGTGGTGTGTTGCCCCAGTGGACTCCACCTGCCTTGGCCTCTCCAGAGCACCAGCTCTGTGTCTTCCTCACTGGCCTATGTTTGGGCGCCCATAACCTCATAATGCTCGTTAACTTTTTCTAGGCAGTAAACTGGTACAATGTAAAGTTCATTTTTCTCTGTCTCTTAGGGATCATTTTTCTTCATTGCCTGATATCTAATGTCTTGAAAACTGTTGTTTCATATATTTGTCTGGATGTTTAACTGTTTAGTTTGGTTGAAAAATCTAGTCCCTGATTGTATCTTGGCTAGATGTGGAGGTCAGAATTATGGATTTAAATGGATATATATTCCAGTGATTAGATGTTCTGTAACTTACTGTAGCTGTTTCTAAATATTTGATATTTAGATTGTTTCTGAGTTTTTGATATGCACTGTTAATATTTTTATATACATCTTAAGGCATATGCATTTTTTCAGTTGAAGCATAAATTACCAGCAATGGAATTATTTGATTGAAGAATCTAATCCTTTTTACAAGTTTTAATAAAAATTCCAAATGAATGATACCTCTGTGTTGCCACTAACAGCATGAAGGTATTAATATCAACATAGTCTTGCCAGTATTGTATGCCTTAACTTAAATTTTCCTAGTTAATAAGTATAAATTATAAATCAGGCTTGCTTTGACTTTTTCACATTTTGGTTTTTAATTGGGATAAATATTGTTAATGTGGTTTTGTGCAACATTTAACAGAAATTTTTCATACAAGGAGAATTGTAAGGAAAATTTCAGAACTTAACACTTCTTTTCATATTTACTATTTTGTGTCTTCAAAGAACACAGAACAGGTAAAATTAATATTAACTAATGAATTGTAAAAAGATGTAATGAAATTTAAAATCTAGAAGTCATGAAAAGTAAGATTGATAAATTCAATAATACAAAAATAATAAATTTCTACATGGAGAAAAGCCTACTGCCATGGACAAATGACAAAATGGGGAAAATATCCAATTTACATCACAGACAAAGCTCAAATTACTCTAATATATAAAGAGCTTTTAGAAACTGTGGAGAATACCAAAAGTCCAGTAGAAAAATAGTTAAAGACTGAGCTTATAAATGGTGGAAATGTGTGTTCCAACACAAAAAAGGTGCTCCATTGATAGTATTAAAAAAGAATTGTAATTTAAAATTATATAAGATAGTCTTTTTAACCTATTACGTTGGCAGAAATTTAGACTTTTGGTTCTGAGGGTGAGTCTATGAGAAATTTTTATATATTGTTTATAGAGGACACTTTGACAATTTCTTAAAAAAAGGATGAATTATTTGCCCTTGGGAAATTATTTTGTAATTATAACATGTATTCATATAATATGACATACATAGGATTATTCATTGTAGCTTTTTTTCCAATAGTGAAATATTAGAAAAATCAAAGTATGTATTAGTAGGGTACTAGATAAATATACTATAGGGCATCCTCACAATGGAGTTTTGTATAGCAACAGAAAATGAGGAGGCCCTCTCTGTGTGATTTAGAAAGATATATAGATAATTGAAAAAAAAATGATGTGCTGAAGTGTTTGTTGTATGTTATGTTTTGTGTAAGAAAGGGTTGACAATACAAACATTTTGTTCATGCTTATATTTGCATGAAGGTCTACCATAAGATTAAATAATAAACTATTAGAAGTGGTTATCTTTGGTAAAAGTGAAGTGGACAAGGATAAAGTGTGAGGAAGATTTCTCAATGTATTTAACTTATATCAGTTTTACATTTTAATAATACGTAATGTACAATATTTATAATCATCTACTATGTTCTGGGTAGTATGAGTTCATGTCCAACTTAATTACCATTAACTTAAATTTCATCTCTCTAGGAAGGAACACTGCACTGAGGGATGGACTTCTGGTGTTCTTCTTCCTAGTTGTTCCCCTTATTGCCCTTGCCACTTTTCTCTTCATCAAGAGAGATGAATTACGGAAAACCTACTTCAGAAAGAAGAGATCACAAACATATGAGTACTTAGATTTTTTTCTTCTCAATCTTATTAAATAATTTAATTGTTGATGATGGTCATATCATACAGATTTGTAATCCTTTAAAAATAGGGTTCTCAGATTTCTTTCCATTCTTTTGAAGTTACTAGTATGGGTTAAAAGGTGGGGGTCAAGCCACTTCTTATAATGGGAAAGGAAAAAGATTATGGGAACCCGCCTATATGCTGCTGAAAATGACCCTTTTAGTGTTCATTTCACTTAACATTGATTTTTGATAGTGGGGTAAGTAGAATTTGGGCTGCCATATCTGACTTGGGTCTTCTTCTAATTAGAGATTAAAATATGGGATAAAGATAAAACATAAATGTTGAAAAATGTTCTTCTTTTTCTTTATTTCATGTGTTAATCTCACAGAGAGAATTCTTCAATTTTCAGTTTTGGAAATAGACTTTAAGAAATAAGTTTTGATAGGAAAATGTTAAAGTTGTCATAATTCAAATACCTGACATGTCTAGTCTGTGTAGGTTAGACTCTCAAAACTCTCTTAATTATCACTTCTAATATATCAGCATCAGAATGTAGCATATATTAGCATGCATTTTTGTAATAATGAATTCAGGTTCCAAGTTTGTTATTAGAGAAAAATAAGCTGAAATTACAAATAAGGCTCTTTGAGTCTTGGTTTGCTTCCTATAAAATTGGAATAATAATAATCTTACCTTTCTTTGATGCAAAGATTAAATGAGGAAATGACAAAACTCGTATAACATTGTGGGCTCATTGTAATTACTTAATAACTGAATATTATTGGTGTGATAATAATTTCTAAATATTCATATCTAGCTTTCGTTGCTCACCTTTGCTCATGGCCCTATTTCTCACTTAGTATATAATATTTTCTCAGAGTATCCTGACATTAGCTTTAATTTTTTGAGGGGGTACCAAGGATTAAACTCGGGGGCACTCAGCCACTGAGCCACATCCCCAGCCCTAATTTGTATTTTATTTAGAGACAGGGTCTCACTGAGTTGCTTAGTGCCTCACTTTTGCTGAGACTGGCTTTGAACTTGAGACTCTCCTGCCTCAGCCTCCTGAGCTGCTGGGATTATGGGTGTGTCTACCATACCTGGCTAGTTTTAATTTTTAATGTTTCCCATTTTTATCTTCCTATCCTTTCTCTTCTTATAACACTTCCAACTGATCAGTCTATGTAGATCATCTCCTAATCTGCATTTTGCGTTTTGTTCAACAACTACAGGTATCTCCCATACATCTCTACTTAGCTGAATACTGTCATCCGAGCATGTCTAACACTTACCTACTGCCCTTTCAGCCAACCTATTTGCTACTCCTAGACTTCCTAATTTTTAGAGTGACTATTTCAAATGTTACATATGCAGTCTAAGAATATGCTTTATTTGTCTCTAATTTAGGAAGATTTGAGGAGAAAAAGCTGGGGATTACTGGCCTAATTAACCAAATTTCATAGATTTTTATTTAATTTTAAAATGTGGTTCATATTATGTAAAGGATTAAACATGTGAAAACTTAAATGTCCTATAAAGACATCGTCTTTCCTCATGATCATCATCACTGTTACTAACATGTTTATTCTGCACCAGGGAAAAACAAAAGGTATATTGATGTATAATGTTAAAATTAAATTTTGATTTAAACTCAAAAGCAATCATATTTTTTCAGATCAGATGGCAAAAACCAAGCAAGTGTTTCTAGACAGCCAGTGAGTGCTCCTCGTCATGTTTCTCCAGCAACGACTCCTAGAGATGTTGTAAGTTTAAAATGAAAATTTTTTTTTCTTTACTATGTTTAAAAAATAGGCAGAAGATAGAGCTAAGTGGTAGAGCACTTACTTAATGTGTATGAGACCCGGGATTCAAACTCTATTACTACAAAAAACGGTTACATAAATATAAACATAGATACTTAAGAATTGTGGAGTAGTGTAGGTGATCCCTGAGTTGAAGGAATACCAGCAGAATCCCTGGCTCTGAGGTTGTGGGTAAAGATGTCTGGACATGAAAAATGTCTTGCCTTGAAACCAGGATTGGGAAATGACCTGAGATTCATGCTATCAGTGTTTTGTTTTTTTCTTTTTTAAACTATCTTCTGTCTTTTTGTTTTTAATACCTGGCTCTTCCCTAGAGTATGTTACTAAAGATGTGGTGCTGAACTCCTGGCTAGAGTTAATTGTTTTAGCAATAGGACCCATGATCACTGTTCCTGCATGTATTACAGAGCATTGGAATAAAGATATACTTTTACTGATATGCCTATGTCCCTAAGCAATATATATATTATTTATATATTATATATAATATTTTATCTGCTTTTAAATGTTATAGAATGTTTTAATATTTTACCAACAGTGTACAAAGGTTCCCCCCCTTTTTTTATCTTCTCACTGCATTTGTTATCTTTAGTCTTTTTGATAAAGCATTCTTACTGGGGTGATGTGATATTTCATTGATGTGCATTTCTGTGATGCTTAGCAGCGTTGGACATTTATTCATACACCCACTGTCCCTTTGTAAATTTTTGTTTTAGAAATGTCTTTAGGCCTGTTGCCCATATTTTAATTGGTTCTTTTTTTTTTTTTCTCTTGAGTTGTTTTAGTTCCCTATAAATTCTGGATATCAACCCCTTGTCAGACATACAGTTTGAAAATATTTTCTCCCATTCTGTATGTAGTCTCTTCACTCTGTTGACTGGTTCCTTTGCTCTGCAGAAGCCTTTTCATTTGATGTAATCTGTTTGTCTGTTTTTGGCTTTTGTTTCCTGTGCTTTCAGGGTTTTGCCTCCCATATGCTTGCCTATCCCAATTTCCTGCAGCATTTCCCAAATATTTTATCCAGTAATCATAGTTTAGTCCTTCTTTTTAAGTTTTTAATTCATTTTTAAGTTAATTTTTGAGTGTGGTGAGAAATAGGAATTTAGTTTTATTTTCCTGAATGTGGATGTTCAGTTTCATATAAGCAACTATTTTTTCTTGGAACTTTGAAGAGATTATTTTTTATCTTCCTCCTTGCAATTTAGAAGCTGCCTCTTGCTTTAGATAATTTCTTTTCCATGTCCTTTTTCTTCTGTATCCTTAGAATACTAGATGTGGCCTTTTAAAAACTCTTTAGTGGGCTGGGGATGTGGCTCAAGCCGTAGCGCGCTCGCCTGGCAAGCGTGCGGCCTGGGTTTGATCCTCCGCACCACATACAAAGAAAGATGTTGTGACCGCCGAAAACTAAAAAAAAAATATTAAAATTCTCTCTCTCTCTCTCTCTTTCTCTTCCCCCCCACTCTCTCTTAAAAAAAATAAATAAAAACTCTTCAGTGACATGTTCCACTATTGTGCACAACTAGCATGCACTAATAAAAACATTAAAATAAAAAAGAATGTCTATCAATGCAAAGAACTGTAGACTGTACCACCTGTGTGTTTACTGGAATACTGTGCAGAAATTAAAACAAAATTGGGCAGAAGGAAAAAAGAAAAATACTCCTTCACAGATAGGTAGAGTTCCTGAATCGTAGGATTTACTTTTCAACAGTTGTTGAAAATTCTTAACAATTATTTCTTTAAATGTTGCCTCTGCTTCATTGTCTTATTAACTTTTTCTGTAGTTCCTATTTGATGCACATTGAGACTTTTCACTGTTTTCCAAGTTACTTAACTCCTTTGATATTTCCAGTCTTTTTTCTGTACTCCATTCTGCTGAGGTTAGATTACCTATCAATGCTAACTCTCTCCTAAACTATGCCAAATCTGTTATTGAACCTTTTTGTTGAATGTTTAATTTCACTACTTTTATAGTGTATTTTATTTCTATAGTTTTCCTTATTTCAAATCTTTCTGCTTATTAAATGTGATAGATTCTTACAGCATGATATATTTTAGTGCTTTCATTTTGTGTAAACATAAAAGTATCCACTTTATGTGCTTTATCTCGTCTTTTTATTGTATAGAATTTTGGTTGGCTCTGTGGTTTGTTATTCCTGTTGAATCTTATTTCTTAGTGTACTTTGTGAAAATGATAAACTCATATTCTTTGGAACTTCGTGTATGGAATTTATTTGAGGTTACAGTAGTTTCCTACAGAGTGTGTGTAGGAACACAGGCCCTTCAATGTCTAACATAATTTTTTCTAGGTGTTTTGGGGGCCATACACTATTATAAACTCTGCCCCTAAGCCCATGTTATGATGAATATGTGCGTAGAATTTCTCCACAAAGCCTATTTTATTTTGCTTCTGTCAGTACCAAGGCCAATATTCCACTGTAGCAAGTCCTGTGTCACCACTGGCCTTTCTTTAGGCAGGTGTTCTCTTTTCCTGTTAACTCTGTGGGTCTATCACTCTAAAGATGCTAGAATTTATATATGGTGTTATAATAAGGCAAAACTGAAGCCCTTTGTTTTGCCTCTTGTGTCTATGTACTACCTGAAAATGCAGACAGTGGACTTCCAAGGAAGGCATTTACCGGAATGCTGTTCCATACTTTGAACTCTTTCATGTTTTTAAATTTTTTATTAGCAGTTTAGGTGCTCCATACTGAGAAGTTTTCTCTGAACATTTGGTCCACTGTTTGCGAGTAATGAGTATATACCCCATTCTCTTTAGCAACAGCATGCTATCCATCTTGTAGATTTTCTATAAATTTAAAACAGGTTGTTTCCCATCTTAACACAAAAAATATGGCATATTAGGCATCCTTGTACATTAATTCATATAATTAATGAGAAGTTTTAAATTAAGGTCTTTAAAATACCTAACATCTTTGTTACTTATATTTTTTAGCTTTTTAAAAATTATTTTTAATTGACAAATAATTTTATATATATATATACATATGTATATATATATCTGTATTTCTGGGATACAGTGTGATGTTTTGATCAGTGTATACATTATAGTAAGATTTAGTCAAGCCCATTAACATATCCATCAGCAAATTATCATTCTAAGAAGTGGAATTTAAGTATCCCTGTAAAGTTCTGTGTTCATGGTTTGGTAGAAAGAGATGGAAACATTTTCTTGAATTTCTTCTCTATTTTTAGAGTACATGCACATTATTCTGTGAGGAAAAGACAGCATGTGATAGACCACCTGTCCTGTGGCAGGACTCTACAGTGAGTGCTCAAGGTTTTCTTCAGCACTGTTCGTATCCTGCCACTCACAGAGCTTTAGGAGTTAATAGTAGATAGTAGAGAAAATCCTGGGCAAGATCACTTCATCAGTGATGAGTAATTCCATCTCATCTTCCTTTTTCCCCAGAGTAAGGTGATTTGTGAAAATGCTTTTGATTTTACATTCTTATTTGGGGATGAGTTATATAATCCCACTTTATTGTAAAACTTCATTTCATCTTGTCAAGGAAGAATATTATGAATTCCAAAGTGAAGGATTGTAGATTAGTGGTATTTACAATACCAGTTAGGTATTGTATAGATTTGACAATGACTTTTAGGAGATTTTATTTAAAATATATTGACATGATAGTTAATTTGAACCAGATAATTGTATTTTTGTATTTTTTGAATTAAAAAAAGTGAAGCCTTAAAAAAACAAAGTATTCTACTCTCAGTGGTAAAGATATGTTGAATAAGCAAAATTATTTATTTATTTATTTTTTTGTTGTGCTACGGGTCAGGACTTTGTACATGCTAGGCAAGTGCTCTACCAATGAACTGCATTCCCAATCCATTTAAGCAAAATATTTTTAAAAGTTAGCATTATAAATGCTATGTTAATTTAAGTATACTAATGAATTTTACAAAAAAGCCCAAGTTATACATAAAATATATTGATGACTGCATTGTTGTAATAACATTAATTATTATTATTATCTTTTTTCTTTTCAGCCAATACATGCAAACAGATTTCCAGTACCAACTTATGCGGTCAAGCAGCCTCAGCAGTTTCCGTCAAGGTCTGAAGTGATTGTGCTTATATTACTTGACCAGAATTTCCCTTGTATTTAATTTAATTTAGGATAAGATATTTAGGCAATTTAATTTAGGGCAAGTTTAGACAGAACACAATTTTCGRGAAGATTTGTAGGTAAGTTTTATAGTTTCATATAAATTTTGTCACATTAGTGCAGTGTCAAAAGAAATTTAAAGAAGTCCAAGACTTACAGTGAACTGCTGCTGTATAGTTTTCTGGGTATAAAATTTAGGAGCAAGGGCCTCTAAAAAAACAAGCATATAAGAAACTATATAGGTTAGACTGATCTTCCCATTGAGAGAGCTTTAAAATAGGTAATATAAAAAAATAGGGGGGCTGGGGCTGTAGCTCAGTGGTAGAGCACCTGCCTCGCATGTGTAAGGCACTGGGTTTGATCCTCATCACTACATAAAAATAAATAAATAAAGATATTGTGTCCATCTACAACTAAAAAAATATATAAAAAAGAAAAGAAGTAAGGAATTATAGAGCTAAGCAGAAACAGAAAGAAGTGTACAGATCATCCCAGTTTGTGGTGCCACTTTTCTGTTCTAGATGCGTCTAGAAAAATACTATTATGAAAATACTATTCTGCAAGTGACAAGTGAAAGGCTTGGAATCTGAGGAGAGCTTTCAGTAAATCATGGGTTTGGGGAAACAAAAATTGGAGTCCTTCTGAGGAGGAGGTACCATGGCAAACATCTCAGACTTTATGTGGGGACCCATGGAAAAGGGTGAACTATACCATCAACTGATTTCAACATTATTTTTCTTCGTGTTTGACACCCCCCCCCAAAAAAAAAAAAATCCTGGAGCACAAGAAAAGAAATCATAGCTAAAATCAAGAAACAGTAGATTATAAAAACAGACTTGGAAGATATCTAGTTAGTAGTCACTTAATATGAACTTTAACTATGATGATTGTATCATGGAATTAATAGTTGAGATTGAGAATTTCAGCATAGCGCTAGAAACTTTTAAAGAAGAATCAGTGCAGATTCTAGAACTTAAAAACAGAAGAACTGAAATTAAAGACTCAGTAGAAGGACTTAAAATCAGCAGGAAAGGAGAAAATTTATTACTACATTTACATCATAAAACACATCTGATTCCTCCTACTCCCAGTAGTACTTCAAATTCCAATTACACTGGAACTTGAGGAGTGTCCCTATATGTAATTTTTACTATTTAGTAACAGTATGTTGAAATCCAATTCCTCAATTGGATTTCAACATACTGTTGAAAGGATTCAGAGAAGAATATATTAATAGAGAGACAGATATTTACCAGGTGATGTTCCAGTGTGGTATCGGAGTAGAGGTGTATTAGGATTGGATGAAGAGATGTCTGCAAGTTAAGGTACGAGGACTGAGATAGATAGGTGTAGGTGTATTAGCAGATTTAATTCTCAGAGCAGATATTGTTTGAGGGAGCTGTAATTTCCCTCTGTGTATACAAGCATAGAGCTAGGTTTCAACTTAGCAGTAATTTGCTGGCCCATAAATTCTAACAGCACTAGAAAAGTGCTTCATTCTTGGTGTCCTCATTTGTTTTTTCAATATGAGTATATGGTTTCATAGAAACTAGAACCTCCATACATTATTGATTATGGAATAACATTAATATAAGGTAATGATTCCATTTTAGATTTTAATTGGAACCCTTTAGTAATATCATTAATAATAATCTCAGAACATGAAATGCCTTTAACTGTTATCAGAGAGTTTGAGAATGGTGTTATGTTGAATATTAACATGTTTTTTTTCCCCCTTTACAGGCCACCTCCACCACAACCTAAAGTATCATCTCAGGGAAATTTAATTCCTGCTCGTCCTGCTCCTGCACCTCCTTTATATAGTTCCCTCACTTGATTTTATATCCTTCTTTTTGCAAATGTCTTCAGGGAAGTGAGCTGATACTTTTCTTTTCCTGACATTTTCTTGAAAAGCCTTTCTTCCTTTTGCAACTATGAATGAAAACAAAATACCACAAAACAAACTTTACTAACACAGAAAACCAGAAATGGAGCGGGGAGTTGAGAAATACAAGGAAATGCAGTTAAGCCAGGGAATTTAGAGTAACGTTTCCATTGCCATCACTGAATGCGTCTTATCTGATCATCTATGATGTTAATGCACTTAACATGAATCATGTTATTTTGTACATGTCATTACAGTGATTCTCAAATTCACTGTATTGTTGTAAGATTTGTCATTATTTGCTTAAATGTAATCTTGAATTTTTGACCTTAGTTATCATTAATGTAGCTTTTGGTGAAACATGTGGTAATCTAATACCTAGGACAATTGACTAATTAGCTGCCAATATTATCTAATACTTTCATCTTGCACGGATTAATAATGATAGTATACTAGAATTTTGTCTCTCATTCACTACATGAATAAATATTCTGTCTTCAGAATGCACACGAGCCACAATTAAGATATTATATTATTTTGAAAGTACAAACTATGCTAAAAGAATGTGTGTATTCACACTCAATTATTAGCTTCCCTTTTTATGATTGTCAACTAAAATGACTATTAGAAAAATTAATTTAATATTAGAATTTCTATTATGCATCATGTTAAAGCACGGCATCCTTTCACAGTAGCATTATTTTAAATTATAAGCTTTAAGGTACGAGGTATTTAATAGATCTAATCAGATATTCTGTTGACTCATGGCTATAATAAAGCAGGAGCAATTATAATATGTTCAATCAGTTGAGCTATTGTAAAACCACTTGAGAATTTCATGAGCACTTTAAGTATAAAATCTGAATTTTCAAAGCTTGATATTAAATCATTTAGAATGTTTACATTTACTATGGTGTGCTAGATCCTATCTCTTTTGACTCTAATATTTTCATAAAAATTAGACTGAGAAAGGAAGAAAAGGTTTTCTTGGATAAGTACTAAACTTAATGTGGTATCTGTGAGTTATTAGCTGTGTTAAAAATGAATTTTTCTATGGAAGAAATGGTATGGACAACAAAATTTTAAAAACTTAAAATTTTTTCATAACCTTTCATAATAAAGTTTAATAGGTTTATTAACTGAATTTCATTAGTTTTTAAAATTTTTTTGTTTGTGTATATATACATATGGAAATATAACATTTACAATAAATAAAATACTTGAAAATCTTTTGTCTTCCAGTAACTTCCTCAATACTCAACTATGTCTATTCTTACTAATTTAAAAGTTATAATTTTAGATAAAATCCTAATCAGACTTTTGCCAAATTGTGCACAATGGCTTTGTTATTAAAGGAAAGCAGATTTGTTTCAAAGATTTGTTTCGAAAATTTCAGTTCTTTAAGGATAGCTCATTATTTTAGTAGTCAGGTACATATCAAACATTGTGAGCCATCTCAAATGAAGTATCTTCATTTTAATTTAAATCTTGGAATGAATTTACATAGACTAAAATGTTTGTCCTTTCACTCATCTTGCCTCAGTTTTTGCAGATGTAATGCATATCATTTGAAATTTTACAGTTAGTAATGTATTAACTATGGAATGTTACGCTGCTCTTGGAGTTAGATAATTCCTGTATCTTTGACTAAAGTTTTTATTTTTACTTTTTTTTTGTACTGGGAATTGAACCCATGGATGCTTTACCACTGAGGTAAATCCCCAGCCCTTTATTTATTTATTTTTTTAATTTGGAAACAGGGTCTTACTAAGTTGCTGAGGTCTGTCTCAAACTTGTGATCTTCCAGAGTCTGGGTTTACAGGCATGCACTACCATGCCTGTTTTTTCTAAAAATTTATTTCATCTGAATTTCTTTTGCTTTAAAAGATTTCTACATACATTGTATGTTTTTCACTTAGATTTGTCCTTGAATTATTCTGAAATATGAATAAAAATTGTAAAATTCCTTGGTCATCCAGCCCATTCTGAGAAATATGAAAGTATTAAAAGACTTTCTTGTTATGTGTTAAAGAATAATAATCAAGGATAAATTACATATAAATTTGATATCACAGACTAAGTTCACAAACTGACCTTGTTCAGTTTGATGAATTTTCCCTTAATAGCCTGAGTCTCTAGCTGTACAGTTAAGCACAATCTAGGTTTTCTAAGCAGAAATCAGATTTTATTAGATTTTGTATATGTCTCTTGAAGACTTAACTTCTGGCAAGTACTCTCTTAGGTACAGTGATATGTAAGTTGGGTGGGAGGGGGAATATGTTTCCTGCCCTTTAGAAGTATATATATTATGGAGAGAGCCGTACATACAAGTAAGAATGATACAAAAGTCTAGCCCAGCACTGTGGCTGGCCCACGCTTGTAATCCCAGCAGCTCAGGAGGCTGAGGCAGGAGTATCGTGGGTTCAAAGACAGCCTCAGTAACAGCGAGGTGCTAAGAAATTCAGTGAGACCCTGTCTCTAAATAAAATACAAAATAGGGCTGAAAATGTGGCTCAGTGGTTGAGTGCCTCTGAGTTTAATCCCCAGTACCCCCCCACACACACAAAAAAAAAGATACAAAGTCTGTTCTATTAAAAATACAAAGGTTGAAAAAAAATACAAAGGTTGAAAGAAAAAGAAAAAACTAGAAATTCATTCAAGTATCTCTTAACTGACAAGTGTAATCAAGCATTTACCACTACTAATAGTTCTAATTGCTACAAAGCAGGGCAAAACCAACTTTGGCTTAATTGCCACTCAAAAGCAGTGTTAGTCTAGCATTAGCTGAACCTATGGGATTCAGGTGAGGTATATTTTCTTTTGTTGCATTATAGATGGAATGTGGGGGTGACTGGGAGGCAGGAGGCTCTGCATTGCAAGGAAATAAGGCAATGTTTAGGAAAAGCCAGAAGTCAAAGCAGCAGAAATACTGAGCATAGAGCAAGTAGTTGGCAGACTGGGGTGTGAATTTAGAAAAATTTAAATATTGTACTGAGGCATTTGGTTAGGTTTCCTACTGGAATAGAAGTACTGTAATTGTGTTAAGAATCTTGTCTGTTACTACATGAATGAAAGTATATTTGTTACTTTGAGAAGTTTCTGAAGAACATGAATTTTTGCCTGATTGGAGAAAAAATGCCACAGCCTTTTTATGAACTCTATAATGAGCTTTGTGAGTGAGGAAAATAAAAACAACAACAACAACAAAAACATAGCAGGCTGTTATGATTTGGCTATGTGGTGGCCTCCCAAAGCTCTGTATTAATGCAGGAGTATTCAGAGGTGAAGTGCTTAGATTATCAGAGCTGTAACCTAATCAGCCTATCCTAGTTTAGATGAGCTGACTGGGTGGTAATGGTAGGCAGGTGGGACCTGGCTGGAGGAAAGGGTCACTGGAGGGTACATTTTCTTTTGGCCCCTTCCCCACTATCTCTCCCTCTCTGGTTCTTAAACCCATCATGAGCTTTCCTCCGCTGGGACCTTCCCCCATGATGCGGCCTCACCTTCAGCCCAGACCAATGGAGTGGGCGGACCATGGACTGAGATCTCTTGAAACCCTGAACCCCAAATAGACTTTCCCTCCTCTAAATTGTTCTTGCAGGGTATTTTGCTTTCCGTGGACAAAAAGCTAACACACAGGCTGTCTCCAAAAAAGTGGAAATTGACTCATTCTTCCCTTCAATTTTTTTTTAATCTTAGAAGATTAGCTTCAGCATTTATGAATATATATGTATATTTAGGTGAACAGTTGTACCCCGCCCTAGGTGCTGGAGTTGTACCCCAGGGTCTCACGCATACCAGGCAAAGTTCTACCACTAAGTCACACCCCCAACCCCTGCGTGTAGCTTTTAATTTAGAACATATTACACATCTGCTTTTCAAAGCACCTGGGAAGTGTCTGCTACTGAAGAGGGAGAAGTTTGTGGGGAACACAGCCACGAGGAGGAGCGGCGCGGCGGGGCGCTGGGGGATTTGGCACGTGGGCGCACCTTGCGGGCGGTTGGGGCAGGGGGCGCAGTGCACCCCGGCCTCCCGGCGCGTGCCGCCCCAGGTCCCCGCCCCACAGCCCAGACAGCAGGTCGCGGCCCAACGGCCCCCGCCAGTCCCCGCTCAGGGCCGAGGAACCAGACCATGTTCCGCCTAATGGTGCTGCTTGCTGGGCTCGGTGGCTTGTTCACGTCAACATCCAGTAAGCCAAAGGAGATACCGTTCTCAGGTAAGGGGCAGAGGAAGGATTTCCTCTTTGAATGTGTGCTTCTGTCCTCCCATGGTGACCCAAAGCTCGCGTCACCTTGAAACCGGGCCTCCTTTGATTACTCCCCTGGGCCAGAGAAGCCACTCGTAGAGGGGCAATATAATTTTGATAAGCTCCAGGACAAATCTCTATTCTGAATCTGAATTTGGGGGCTACCTTTCTTGTGGCTCTGTCATTCATGTCCAAATCTCAAGTTTTCAGGCTCTTCAAAAAGTACTTCAGAAACTTCTTGAACTCCAAACTCAACAAAACAAACAAAACCCCAAACCCTGACTGCTGGGAAAACTGTTTGTTCCAAAATAAAAGATTGTGCTGCATACAATAATAATTTGTCCTGAAATAAATTTTAAAAAAATTCAGTGAAGATGCATAGGTACTAAGGAGAGATAAGAACATTGGGAAGAGGCCTCACATATTTAGAACAGAGCTGAGGAGGATTAGATGCCTGTAAAATATTTTGATACTTGTTTTTATTCTTTCCCTTTTTACACCTTGTTCTGAGTCTTGCCATCTGTGTCAGCACATGGAGTGCCTTTCCCCTTTCATCTCTCTAATGTTCTATTATTTGGAAGTAACCAATTTAGCAGTTTTTCTATTCATGAACTTTTGGATTATTTCCAATCTATATTAGCTCCAGCCGTCCTAACAAAATACCACAGACTGTATACTTGAAAAGACCGAAATGAATTTTCTCACAGTGGGGGGTCTGGAAGGCCAAGAGCAGAGTTGGGCATGGTTGGGTTTTAGTGATTCCCTCCCTCCCCTGGCTTATAAACAATTGCCTTCTACATGTGTAGGTCTCTTCTTATAAGGGTATTAATCCCAACATAAGGGTCCTACAGTAAGATCTCATCTGACCCTAAGCACTTCCCAGAGGCTATCACTAAATACTGTCACACTGGGACTTAAGGATTCAGCATGAGAATTTTGTGGGGTTGCATTCAGTTTATATACCACACGAAATATTTTAACTTAGTGGTTGTTAAACTTTTTGGATTCAGAATTTCTTTACACATAAACAGTTTTGGAGATCCTCAAAGACTTTTTGTTTATATGTGTTTATATATGTCAATATTTATCATATAATAAAATAAAATAGAAATTCAAGAATGTATATTAACTTATTTTAAAATAAAAGGAATAGACCTATTTGTTAACATAAGTAACATACTTTAAAACGAATCATATTAGAAAATGGAACAGTGTAAAATATAGACATTTTTGTAAATCTCTTTAACATCTGCCTTAATTGAAGACAGCTAGATCTTGTATAGACTTCTGCTTTCAGTCTCTTGCTGAATGTTTCGTTTGATGTGTATGTGAAGAAAATCTAGTGTATGTATTTGAAAAAGGGAGGAATTTTTTTATAGCCTTTTTGGATAATTGAGGATATTCTCTGGTTATTATGCAAAACTTGACAAATGGTTGACAGTTCTGTTTAATGTATAATGTATAAATTATAATGTATAATGTATAAATTAATGTATAATGTATAAATTATAACATGCTAATTACTGTTGACTTTTAAGAGTTCTTTGTGTGCTTTGAATAATAGTCCTTTATTGGATGTGTTTTTTGCAAACATTTTCCTCCTAATCTGGGGCTTGTCTTCTCATTCTCTTTGCATTGTCTTTTATAGAGCTGAAGTTTAAAAATATTTTTCTGTGCTTTTTATCATCATATCTCCTCCCATTCTTCATTTAAAAGTTTTTCAATAATACAGAACACTCTTATTTACTCTAGTAACCATGTTGTATAATAGATGTCTGGAAGTTTTATTTCTAAAATTATTGTACCCTTTGACCAACATCTCCTCCTCCTCCTCCCATCCCTGCCCTGGTAACCATTATTCTGCTTTTTGCTTCTTTGAGAACTCAACTTTTAAAGATTCCCACATACAACTGAGTGCCTGTGGTATTTGTCCCTCTTTGTCCGGCCTATTTCATTTATCATAATGTCCTCCAGGTTCACCCAT